TAGGTTCTGTTTTTGCCAGGGCTATTATCAGGTCGCTATCGACATCAAGACGATTTCGCTGTTTTCAATTGAAACTAGAGCAGAAAAGCCTGTCTCACATAAGTATGTTGAAGAAAAAGGAACTAATATTCGTAAAGTAAGAGAGGCAAGTGTCGAATTAACAGGCAATCTTTTGATCCAACATTTCTCCAATGTTAAAAAATGGAAGTCATCTTTCATGGACGAACCAGCCTTCATTTCTAGAAATTCTTCCTAAACGTCTTCTGAAAATTGTGACACATCGACAACAAATGGATTTCTTGTTATGTGCCATATTGGTGACTCTGAATTGATGTCTCCATAGTGTGATAGACACTTTTTGATTCCAAAGTTGAAGCTTTGATATGAACCCCTGAATATAATCATAATTGCTGTTTGTAGTGTTGTTTCTGCCCTGAAGTTTCAAGTTTAGCTCATTCAAGGAGTCAAATATATAAGCCAACCTCCATTGAAATGAGTCATCTATGAACATTGTCAAAAAAACTGTTTTTCTTTGAACTCAAGAAAAATAATTACCTCTTCTTTCAATTCATAAAGGCGAGCCAACATGTTGCCTTTGGACAGCCAGCGTACTTCTGTATGGAACAGAAGAACTTTGTGATCAGAATCGAGATCCTCGCAAAGTAAAGTAAATAACCGCGCTGCTCTTGATGTAGTTTACAATCCTTATAGCCGAGTCCAAAGTCTGGCGTAATTTCTGTGACAATGTTTTGGAAGCCAAAGCTTGCCGATAAATAACACAATGTGTGCTAACACTAACCAATGCGAGATTTTTTTCCTTGACCTTTTTAGCTAAGCCCGATCGTACACCTATCATTGCAGGTGCGCCATCTGTGCAAAGTCCAATGAGTTTCTTCCAATCCAAATAATTTTTTTTAACAAAATTTGATATCGAATTAAATATATCTTTAGATGTAGTACCTGCTGTCAAAGATTGGCAGTACAAAATCCCTTCTTGAATGATATTTCCGCCGATCTAACGATCATAAACTATTAACTGTGCACAATTAACGATGTCGGTGGATTCATCGCAACTAATGGCAAAAAGTGGCGATAATTTTACTTTGTTAATTATTTGTGACTTAATGTCTGCTGCAATGTCATCGATTCTACGCTTGACTGTGTTATTCGAAAGAGAAATAGACTTCATTTTCTGCTTTGTATATTCACCTAAAATTATCTGCGTGGCTTTTAGGACACATAGTTTTATTAACTCTTCACCGCAGTATGAGGTTTCATTTGCTTTGCTATCATAAAAGCTATTTCAAATGAAGCTTTGAGATGCCGCGATACACCTGTGTGATAACTTCCCGATTTATCCAGTCTCATCCGCTTGAGTGATTCTGCTTTAGAAGAAAAAAAAACTTTCGTCTTCAAAACCAGAGTAGGGATGTTGTTGCTTCAAATGTATTTCAAGGCGATTGGGTCTCATGCTATCATTACTTAAAACTTTCATACATAGCACACACTGAGGCAATTGTAGTATTTTTTAATGAAAGTAAATCCAAACTTGATGTAATCCTCGAAAAACTTTCTTTTTTTCTTAATAACGTAATGTATTCAACAGTATATTGACCACCGGGAGATTTATATTTTTGTAGGCAGGTTGACCTTATAATAGTAATTTTAAATACATTTGGAATCAATATTAGGTACTTAAGGTTCGTCGCTTCAAAATTATTTCGTCACGTTGGTTCGATTGTGATGTGGTAAGAAAGTCCCCATGGCCGATCTATCTATGAACGCGTCTCCACTCAATCAACAATTTAGTAAATTAAATGAAAATGGTAACTGAAGTTTGTAAATAGACAAACTTACCATTTAACAGTGAGACACAATAATTTGACACACTCAAACATATTTCTCAACAAAACATGTACATCGAAATGTCAAATATTTCGCAACTTTGTGGGAATGAATGTCACAATGCTCGTACCAGTCTGGTTGGTACACAATTGTTTGAATGTTGCGCGGAGCGCGACGGGGGTGCGCGCGGATTTCATATTGTGATTTGTCGAAACTTGTAAAAGCTGTGATTGACGTCGCCAGGTTTTGAAACAGCGGTTGACATAATATGTGAATACCTGTATGATATGTAATTTCTAATTCTATGCGTGTATATTGAACATTGTTAACGTTGTTTATTTTTTTTGTTTTTTCTTTCTAAAATAGAAACACTTTCCGCCCCTCTTGACATCTCGCTATGCCCCCCTTGAGAGGCGCGCCTCCTAGTTGGGAGCTCCTGCCCTAGTATGTATTATGGTAGACGCGAGAAGTACTTGATGAGGTATCCGATGCCATCAAGTGGTGTGAGTAATCTAGAAACTTGATTAAGATTAAATAAAAATGTGGAAAAAGGTCATAGACGTAACCAACTCTCATTTTGACCGCATAACAAATTATGTCTAAGATGTGCAGCAAATCGTTGGAGAGGTAATTAACTACAAAACTGGTATAAATAAAGCTAAATTTCAGAATGGGATAGTTTTTTGTAATCAAATATTGATTTTCAATTTTTTTTAATCACTCCGCACAGTTTTACGACTTTGGAAGGCAGTCAGTAATTTGTATCAGGCCGTTTCCATAAATTACGTATGTGATCTGATTGAGCATCCATTACAGAACGAAACCACGTTGCGTTATCAACTGGACAAGCAAAAAGTTGTAGAGCTATGCATGCACAATTTCAGGGAATTCATATATTCGATGACAAAAATAAACTAATGTAAACGTTGTATGTATGTGTATAATCGATATTATAATCAAACACTAATAAACTGGACACATTTAAAAAAATAAACTCAATAGACAACGTAACCTAATTGGAAAAATAAACAAGCGTGCGATATGGCAGACAAAAATCAACTGCCCGTTTTCCACCGCCCATCGTCCTGCTACTGTTTGCCGACGGTGAAACCCCGGGTAACATGGCATCACCTACTTGAATCCTATACCTGGTGGAACACGATTGTTTACATGTGTTACGATCAATGACGATACTCCGGGCATTGACATTAATGGCGGGGCAATGATGAATGCTCAGGAACTTGAGCAATGCTGTTAAACGCGCTATGTTACAATCATTGGCTAGGAAATGACTTTAACTGCCGTCAAGCCGCTGGCAGTAATGTGATATAGTGGAGCATAAGGTTATGTTACACATGTTACATGGGGTTGTTTTTTGTATTACTCACAGATGCGTAGGTAGTTGAGTTAATATTAAGACTATTTTGATATTCAAACAAGTAATAAGAATTCTAAGGAAATGTGTCGTCGACTCATGGGAAGCACGAATCAGTAATGTCATTTTAGCAACTAATGCGATGGCAACAAATCCTTTTGTAACATAGAGGAACATAACATCCGGAGATTATGAAAGTAAAGTCTTAGACTTCACTCTCAGGTACTAGGTTTTAATGATATATGTTTTTGTGTTGTGTTCTTTATAAGAAATATTTCCCCTACTACGACTATCGTTAATATTTTTGCCAGTTAATTCTTATATCGACATTGCCCAGCCATTCTTGTCATAAGTGACCGGGCAAAACGTAAAAACATTGTCCGTCCACAATTTCAATTCACGTCAGTGCCCAGCGCGTGACGTCAAAGCCCAATTTTCGTCATTGTCCGTTCACTAAATGTGGGACTGCAATTATCATCTGCTGACTCTGTACATCAGAAAACTAAATTTCTCGTGCATATTATGTATTCTACCCTTTCCGAATATGGTATCTAACTACATACATACAGGATACTGAAAAAACTGTTTCTATAAATCAAAGATGTTTGCGCGGGAAGTGAAATTTCTTTACCCTTCCGGTTTCTTGAGCAGCGAATGGGGCGAGTGCGTCAGCTGAAATTCGTTGGTATTTTCAGCAATTCCGGATGTAGAAGCCTTACGCAATACAATCTTTCGCTCGTGATCAAAGAGATAGCAACTTTGATGGTTCTTTTTTGTGTAAGGTAAATGGGTTTTCAACATAGTGAATATAAACATACCCGTTCTAAGAAAAACAAATCAGCACCTTTAAGGGCAACATGACGTCAACAAAGGAATTTCAAAACACATCATTCGTGTCTTGTGGCAGGTTTGCGGATTTAGCACGTAGTCTTTTCTTTTCAAAGTCATATGTTAGTATTTCCAAATCGTCCAGTTTTTCATACGCATAAATTGGAAATATTTAATACACACGTTCCTTTTGAATAAGATTATCAAAACAAATTTCGAGAAAATTAGGTACACATATTTTTCCACTTATTTATTCATATGTACATCGAAAGGGAAACACATAGGCAATCTTTTCTATCAGAATACTGCTTACTAGGTAGGGTAAACTCACAATTGTTAACAAGAAAATAAAACGCATACGTATGTACAGTAATTGGTTATTAATAGTCCAAGTAAAATTAAAATTAAGACAAAGCAAGCTATCGATATATTACTTGCACATAATATTGAAATATGAATATCGGAAAAGAAGGAAAATACTTAATGTCTCTTTCTCAAACACAGCAGTAATCTCCTAACACATCTGCGTCCTAATGACCTTGACACCGTTCTTCAGGCATTTCCACATCATGGAGAAAGCGGTCCCCTTGCTTCGCACTCACAGTTCCAAAATGTGATGGGGAAAAATGGGGATGGGTTTGGAGAATGCTGTAGCATCCTTCTCAGTAAACTTGCGGTTACTGACAGCTGTTGCTCTTTTAGTTTTAGATTTTCGTTATTGAGCTCCTTCTCTGTTAGTGCTTTTTTCAGGGATCGATTATCTTCTAATATCTTTTTTACATTAGTCGAATCAGGTCAATTTTCTCCATCTGTGATGCAGTCTTTTTTCATTCTCGGGCTTTTCGTGTTGTTCTTCTTCGTCCTTCTTCTTTTTGCGGGTCATGACACTCTGTATAGTTATTTCTTATGTAGCATGAATCCAGAAGCACAAACTGTCAACTTGTAAATTTTACGTCACTCCGAGGTTATATAAATATGGCCGAAAACGACTGAAAATTGTAAAATCCGCTGCACCAATATATCCAGACCCGTATTTTATGGTTATAAATGGAACCTCTTCGCCAAAAGGTTATTTCATGGACTGTGTACCAACCAAATTCTTGACAAGGTAGGAAGATATCGTTTGCCTGTTTGCGACTTTGCTATATGCTATAAGACATCAAAAAACATATTTCATTTTCGAAAATGTTCGCACTTACAATGCTCGCCAATGTCGTGTAAAGTAAAACCTAAGCCTGCTTTTAATTCATTTTCATTTTATCAAATCTGGTAGGTACTTGGAAATGTTAGAGTCTACAGAACATATGAAAATCAGAATTTTTCATATAGAGGGCTTAGTTTCAGCACAACTTTCAGGATCCGATAAAAATTTCCAGCGACCCACCACATTGACCACCAAGATTGCGACTAAGCATTCGTGAAAATACATTTTTACATTATTATGTAACAGGTACAAGTGCATTGGTTCTATTTGAGTGACGTGGAGTGTAGGCCGAGTGCCGCCCTCCCCCTTCACTGTATCGCCCAACAGCATGACGGAATCATCCGAGTCCTATGGTTATTGAGCTTTGAAAATGCTGCCACATGTCGATATTTTTGATACAAGGAGAGTCACAGCTAGTAGGTACGTACATAAAATATCCTAACCGGAGTTCTTTTTGTCTACACTGCCTGAAGCATCACGTAGCCTTCTCGTCAGTAAACAGCTCTGAGTTACAGCTAACGATTGGGTTAACACTTTTGCGCGACTTGACAGTCGGAGCTTTCATACGCACCAGAAGTTTCTTGTATGACTTGCACGTGCTTTAGCGTGCGTGCTTCAATTATTAGCGCATTTGTGTTTCAAAAAGATCTACAGATATCAAAGAGGCAAAGCAAAAGCGTGAAATCAAGTGTCAAGAAATTTTTCCTTATATGAAAATCCAGCTTTTCATAAGGTATGGCGCTTGGCAAAGACGGGCGAAGTTCGCAGCATTTTGAATGTCGTCATTATTTCCCGTGATCCCGCCTTTTAAATCCGGACCATTGGATGTTCTATGGTGAGTTTTCTTAGAAACCGTTCTATAACTTTTGGGATATAGTGAAGCGTTTGGGGGCTTTGACATCGACTTTACAGTTACAGCTGATCAATACCTACGCCTTTTATGGCTTACTCAATTACTCATCAGAAGTTATTATAAATCTTTTTACAATTAGAGTTTTTTGCGAATAATAATAAATAACATTCTAGTAGGGTTTTGTTTATTCTAGGAAGAGAAGCATTTTTCTGCTCCGTACCAAAATACATGCTGTAAATCTTGAATAATTTCTATCATGCGATCGAATACTTCATTTCGTTGTATAATTTTCACAATAAAACACTGGAGAAGTAACGAATGCCATTTTATTTGGAAAAGTAGTTAGACTGGCACTGCCTGGCAGAGGCTCGATCTTAAAAACTTCGTGGAACGTCGTGCTATTGCCATGTATATATATATATAACAAAAATAGTAAAATAATGGACAAAATCCGCAAAAAATGGATTCGAGCAGAAAATAGGATAGGTAACCCGAGCGATACTCAAGATATATCATGTCTCAAGGTGTTTGTGGTAAAAAACGTTGTGAAAATAAAAGGCGAGATGTGAAACGTGAAGCACATACCTTTTTCTCCATCATGGATGCCACATACTATACCGTTGTTTGACTACTATGATCGAGAACTTCCTGTCATTTATCTGTCCCAATGAGCCAAAATAATTGAGGAAATGAGTGCTTTGACCTAACGTAAGCGATGCATCGCTTTTATGCTGAATAGCAGTAACCCTTGAATAGCTTTGACAGTTCGCGGGATACGCTATCAAATCTGCCAAGTGAAAACTGCTGTATCGCTGAACTGCTTTACCATTAGCTGAATATACTCTTTGTATTCACATGCTAAAGACATGACGCTACACCATACAGTTCAATGGAAACCTGCGACTATGAACGTCAGTGACGACAAAATGCTTGAAACTACATTCTTTAAAACCGCTGCTCTCGTGCCAGTGTGCACTACAAGTCGATCAGGCTCTAGCCTCCAGCTTGATAGTTTTTGAATCTTCAGCATTGAATTCGTATTTTTCTGAAAAGAAGTGAAAATGCGTGGACTTCCATAAAGCTCTATAGTGCCAGACAATTGCCGAAATTTGGAAACGCTCTGTGGATAGCATATAGTTTAAGCTGGATAAAATTAGATCTTTTCATCAGTAAGTTTTAATATATGTTACGACTGTCGTCTGCGTTTCGAAATGACGTGTACGTAACAACATGCAAACTGCAGAACATCCAAGGCAAACTCGTCATCAATACTGAAAATCGTCAACTAAAACTTTAGCTTTGAGTCTTTTACTTTAGTATTGAATTTAAATTTCTTTTTAAAAAATGAATAGTATTAAATGCACTGAATAACATATATATATATATATATATATATATATATATATATTGGATTAGTATAGCAATAATGGTATAATGGCAGTAACTGCCATATAATGCTTATCCAGGTATCTACTTTTATCCAAGGATGTGCATAGATCACCAGCCAAGACAATGTACACGTCCTACGTGGTCGATTCAATTCCTTACAATCATTGTAATAAAACGTATATTGGTCAAACAACTCTCAAAAGACGTATTACGTCTTGTAAAGTGTTATTTCACGTTATATCAGTCGTTGTGGTCTTGCACAAGATGCCATTGAAACTGTCCATAAATTCAAATGGAAAGCTGCTAGGGTTTTGGAGATTGAGCCAAACTACTACAAGGCTTTTTCTTGAACTGGTTCACATCAATGACCCAATAATGTCAACAGAAGAATATCAGCAATTTAAGTGGAATCTGGACCTACGTTTTGAGATTGGAAGGTAAGATATCTGCAAACATTCCCTTTTCTCAAGATTGTTCCGATACCATCCTTTCATCATAGTTGCTGGATTGACTAAACCTCCTATCGTCTCTGTCGGCCTTTATATTATTTTTTGGTTTGAATGAATATCTCCATAAAAGAATTTTCCTGATGTGTACTTTTTTCGTTTCATGATTAAATAATCCCACCCCTGTTTTGGTAGTAGTCTCATTAGCCTCTACTTTTGACCACCGTGTGGAAATCTGCCCCCTGCGTAACTCCAAATGTTGTAAATGAGGCTACTGGCTGCACACCTTATCTCTTCGACCTCTTTTTTCTTGTTATCCCTTCCTGAAATCAAAATTTGTACAAAATTGTACCAGGCTTCTGCTGGCTTGAACAACCACCATGTTTTGTTTTAGTAACTTATCCATCGGTTTTTACTTAAATAAGTTCTCAAAAACCACATTAATGGATTTTAACGGTGATCAGTCTTCCATATTACGACCTCTGAAGTTATTCTTTTTGTTTTCTGACGTTTATTTCCGTTTTTGAGAGATCTTTCCTGAGAAAGGATTTCAACCCCGATTTTAATGCTGTAGTAGTTGTTCTATTAATATTGAAGCTAATATTTCATTCAGTATATCTATAGCATTTCCCGAAGAAGAACATAAACATTTTCAAAAGCTTGATGTATGAACACAGAACTAACTTTTTTCAATCTTCTGGTTTTTGATAACATTACGGCCGCAACTTCAAAATCTCTACTTTGCACCTTAATCGGTCAGAGAAGACTAACGTCCTCGTCCTTCATTGATTTATCTACGCTTAAAATAAACAGAGGCAGTAGCGTATCAGATATATGGTAACCTGGAAAACCTCAGAAATTGATATGCATGGTAACGATATCATTTCTTTATATTCCATGAGATGAATTTTAACGCTACACCTTTTAGTGGGCTGTTTCCAAAAATCTGGAAATGTTTATATGTTAAGTATGTCTTTGGTAAGTTTTGTTCACTTTATGATTTTAAAAACATAAACCACCTTGGAATTGGGTTCAAAGATCATAGGCATAAGTAAAACAAATTCCTCAAAGTACCGTCAGCTCGATTTGGACTCTATTAAAAACCATCCAACATAACGGCGCTGCGGGTGAGTGAAACAAAGGCATGCATCAGTACGGCGCAAGCCACGGAGTCAAGCGGCAGTCGCGGCGAATAGTGCAGTGATCAGACGAGTTCAGTTTCTTTCAAGGCGAAAAATGAACACCGATGGTTTTGATACTTGTTTTATTAATGACCACTCACAGCTCACAAATAAATAACATAATTATTGTAAAGTATTTCAATTTCATGAAATATTAATATACAGGGTTGTCACCCTTAAATATCTTCAATTAGCTAACCGTATTTTGGGCAATGATAGTTCCGAAAAAAATTAATTATGAAAAAATTCCGTTTGCGACCATATGTTTTTTGTGGAAAGTTGTTCATATTGATGGGTATTATCATTTCCCAAAATATCCTAGGCTAATTAAATGTCATCCCTTATATAGACAGGAATATACCTTAATGTCAAAAACAGCTTTCCAGCGGCACTTAAAATTCTACCTGCATTGCCTTTTTTCCAATTCTGGTTGAATATGAATTGGAATATAATCGAAGGTTTCGATACTCATTCTGATATACTCGAAAAAATCTTCTGGATTCATTCTGTATTCCTCGTACTTCTTGTGGAATTCTCCTTCTCTACCCCGATTCTAATTGCTATTTAAATCATGTACTACACAATCTATTCCAAAAATTATGTCTCGAACCAAAAGACTATTACTTTCTAAGCAATATCGAGATAACTTCGATAAATATATTTCTCTCTCGACGAACTTGACTGCCTGTGGCCAGCAAACTGTGCAGTGCGCATGGTCGCCTCTCGCATCGTTGCGAGGGTTGTATGTTCTTGTATACATCGCCATCTTCAATTGATGGGTTACCCAGCAATATGAAGACTGGCTTAAGACTCAAATGCTCAAATAATTACTCTGAGGTCTTTGTAATATTGGTACCATTATTAATGCTGTGTTTTCTGAGTGCCGCGCAGGTCATGATTTTTACTATTGTATTAGGGACTCGCAGCAGGGATATCGCATGTCTCTGCAGTGCAGTGTTAATCCTGCATTGGAAATCGAACCGATTCTAGATTTCGTCGTGATATCAGCCAAACGTATTTGTGGACTGACTAGGAACAGTTTAATCAAACTAAAGCTGTAATTTAATCGCGACAGATTCTACGACCGTTTAACAGATTAATTCCGTTTGTCTCTTGGGAGTGAATGTTGTTTTGACTGGTCAAATCATTGGAATTTCATGTCTGCGTAATTTGGTGGGTGATTTCAAATTTAGCTAATCTAAAATAGATTGCACAGCGTGTGCTTAGACGTAAACATTAATTTGTGGATGAAAATGAGATAATAAGCTTCACTAAATAGGGCATTTTCAAACCAGGACAAAGAAGTAAACTTACTTGAGACATGATCAAAACATCTTACACCAAAGATCTTATGCAACTTTTCTGAACAGCCTGAAGTCTATTCTTAGCTATGCCATCGAAGGAAGGATAAAATAAAATATTACAGTAGATAAGAACCAGTATTATAATTGACTTGCAGAGTTTTGCCTCAATTAGTAACTCCTAACTTTTGGACACGGAGAGAAATTTAATTTTTCTGTCCCAGTCTTTACCGATAACAATGATACAACAACCTCCCTCCTAGGCTCACAGCAAAAAAGCATTGCATTGGACTTTGGAAGCATCCATGGCAAAATTGTGCGTTTTTGAAAACTGACATAGCCTTCCAATATCAGAGATTAAATTTAAATTAGTTTGATCTTCCTTCTTCTTCCATATCAAAGTAGGGAAGGAGCTGCGTATCATCGGCAAATGACTGTATCTCCGATTTGTTGACACTTCTTGTCAATGCAGCATCCTATATTAGGTATAAAAGAAAAAGTAGCGGTCCAAGGAATAATTCTTGGGCCGCGAATATTGATTAATACTATCAGAGTCATTAAGCTGGTCAGATTCAATTGCTTTTCCTCATTCTGCACGTTCATGCTTTCTAACTCTGACTTCAGCTTCTTAGAATTTTTTTGTTGATTTAGAAAATTTAAATACG